CTTTGTGCTTACAGGCGCCTAGGCCACTGAGCTATCTCCCCAGCCTATAAAAGTTTTATTTATTTATTTGTAGTTGTTTTTTTTTTTTTTTTTTTGCGGAACCGGGGATTGAACTCAGATCCTTACGTTTGCAATTCAAGCGCTTATCCTACTGAGCCATCTCCCCGGCCCCTATTTATTTGTAGTTTTAAGGAAGGGTCTACAGGGTGTTCAGGGTCTCACTGCTAGATTGGACATGTAGTGATCTGCCTGTTTACAGCCTCCCAAGAGCTAGACTACAGGCGCGCGCCACCATGCCTAGTCTTAATTTCTGTGTCAGCGTGCCCTTTGGGGGCCAGCACCACAGTCCTGGGGATCGAACCCCTGGCCCCTGCATCTGCTTGCAAGCACTTTTAATTCCCTCAGCTTTTTGGCCCGCCCTTATTTATTTTATTTTATTTTTTTAATGTATTTAGTACAAGGTCTTAGTATGTAGATCAGACTTGTAGTGATTCTCCTCTTTTCAGCCTCCCAAGTGCTGCAGCAGATTACAGGCATGTGCTACCATGAGCCCACTCTCAATTGCCATCTCAGCACGCGCTGGAGTTGGAGCCGGCACTAAATGTTTTAATACAGTTTTATTTTTTGTCTCATGGTACAGCTTTACTGTAATTTTATATTTTCCAAGTGACCAGCTAGTTGTTTCCCAACTCCATCCTTACGGGATTTAAAGTCATTTTTAGCTGGATGTAGTGACACACAGCTGTAATCCCAGCACTAGGTAGGCTGAGGTAGGAGGATCACCATGAGTTTCAGGCCAGCCTGGGCTACAAAGTGAGTTCAAGTCCAGCTTGTGCTATGTAATGAAACCCTGTCTCAAAAAAAGTCATCTTAGCATTTTACCACATTGTAAAACACTTAGTTGTGTTCTCTTCCTTTTTCTGACTATTGCTGGACCTGCACTAGACTTTTAATTGCAGTGGCTCTATTACTTGTTTCTTATCTCATAAGGCAAATTCCTCCAGGGATTGAACTTGGGTTCAATTTTATTTTTCAAAAATGCATTGGTTGTTATAGCATGCATGCTTTGTGTTCTAGGTGATCTTAAGTCTTATTTTTTCAGGGCTGGGGATATGGCCCAGTAGAATAAGCACTTGCCTGGCAAGTTAAGGGTCTGAGTTCAAATCCCTGGTTCCACCAAAAAAAAAAAGACTTATTTTGTCAAGTTCCTTTAAAAATCCAGTTGGGAGACATGCCTGTAATCCCAGCACTTGGGAAGCTGAGGCAGGAGGATTGCTGAGAGTTCAAGGCTAGCCTGGGCTACATAGTAGTTGAAGGCTAGCCTGAACTGCATTTCAAGACCCTATCTGAAAACAACAAAACCCAATTAGGATTAATATGAGGGGAGAATAAACATCTCTACAGTACTGTGTTTTTGTTTACTCAGATGATTTTTTTTTTTTTTTTTCTTTTTTTTTGAGCATTGTCATGAGGATTACTCATGACAATCCTCTTGAGTGCTGGGATTATAGGCCTGCACCACCACAGATATACTTTTTGTTTTTTTTGTTTGTTTTATTTTTTATTTTTTGTTTTTATTTTGTGAGAGAGGGTCTGACTATGCAGTTCAGGCTGGCCTTAAACTCACTATGTAACTGAGGCTGGTCTCAACTCACAGTGATTCTGCTGTCATAGGTACCTCTCCATTGCTGGGCTTACAGACAGGGGCTACCGCTTTGTCTAATTTGAGGTGTGACTTTATTATTTTTTTTTATTCTTTTGATATATAACTTGCTATGCAGTTCAGACTCATAGTGATCCTTCTGTCTCAGCCTTCCCAGTGCTGGGGTTATAGGTGTGTGCAACCACTCCTGGTTTTGGGGGTGGCATGGCACACCCAGAACATGGGGATCCAACTTGGGTCCCTGTGCTTGCCAAGTAGGCGCTAAGACTGCCTACCCATCTCCCCAGCCCGACAGACATACTTTGCCTCTATAAATTTTTAAAAATTTCGTCTGGACCTCTATTTCCTCTTCTGGAAATGGAGATAGGCTGGATTTTGTGATTGCCGAGGGGCTTCCAGAGCTAATTAACATTCACTACTTGTGTTTTGCCTTAGGCAATGTACAATATCCAGATTTTTATTTTTTTTAAATAAAAGATAGTAAAAAAAAGAAACAATACAGAACTTCACTGAACAAAATGATAGGATTTCAACACGGGTTGTTAAATTGCATATTATCCTCTTCAGATTAGTTGTTCAGATTACCAGATATAAGCATGCAAAATTGGTCAACAAAAATTAAAAAGAAGAAGAAACATGTAAACATCAATAGAATAAAGTATTCAAGTATTAAAAGACATTTAAATAGAAAAATAATTAAGATATATTTCCAATATTGGTTGACCAGGCCACTACTAGAACTTTTTAATTTTCTTCTCCATTATGCTTATGTGTACTTAGAATTAATGTTCTTGTGGGTTGGTTACAGTTTTATATTCTGATTTTTTTTTTTTTTTCCACTCAAAATGGGTACTGAGATTTTTGCAAGTTAAGCCTTTTTTTTTTTGGTAGAACCAGGGATTGAACTCAGGCCCTTGCGCTTGCTTCTACTGAGCTATCTTCCCTGGCCCAACTGTTTTGGGTATCTCATTTTGTTTCATTTTTCATTTCTTGTGGTATTGAGGATTAAACACAGGGCCTCACACTTGCTATGCAAGCACTCTCCCATTGAGTTATAGTCCTGACCTTTTCTCTTATACCTTCTTTCATATTGTATTATAAATGTTTATTAGCACGTCTGTCTCTCTAACTCTACTATGAGGTGCTTGCCCAGGTTGTGTCTGCTTTCTATGGCTAGCAGTCCTTGAGCATCAGCCTGGAGGGCAGTTTGGGGCATCTTGGCAAAGTCATTCAGATTCAGTGTTTCAAGGCTAATTGTGGTCTCAACTGCATAAGTTGAGAAGAGTGTAGGAGAATGTGAAACCCAAACAAGGTAATACTAACACTAAGTTTGTCTTTACTAAAAGCACTGGTCAGTGATGCCATCCAGGACGACCTGCAAGATGAGTCCCTCTACCTTCCTCCATGCTATGCTGATGCAGCCAAACCTGAAGATGTATATAAATTTGAAGATAGTATCTTTTTTCTGGTAGAAAAGGTGCTTTATTTCACACTGTGACGTTCATGTAGCCAGACTCTGAGGATGTCCTTCACCCTGTGACAGTCACACAAACATCCAAACCATTGTACTTCTCAGTAGCTGAGACACCCACTCCTGGAATTCAGACTCGCCAAGTGCCTAGTGCCCACAGCTCAGCCCTGTGTGTGGCACGCTCCACAGATAATCAAAATAAAACTCAAATTGGCTAAAGCCTAAAGTCTAGGATAGATCGATTTTGTAGAAGGTGGCACTCTCCACAAATCAAAATAAAACTCAAATTGGCTAAAGCCTAAAGTCTAGGGTAGACTGATTTTGTAGAAGGAAGGGTTGGAGCATAGAATTTTATTATTTCAAAATAGCCACTGCAGTGGCTTTGCAGTAAGAAGGAGAAGGAAACAAGTATTGGGCTAGAATCTGAGATGTTGGTTGCTGTACTCTACTGTGTTAGATTGTGAGCCTCTTCCTCTGTGGGCCATAGCTTTCATCTGAAATGAGGTCACTATGAGATGAGCTAGCTGGTTGGGTATTTCCATCTTTGAAAGATTGTTTTCTTGACCTGAAACTAGTTCTCTCCCCTGCGGAGTATGATGCTCTTGAGGGCCCATCTGAAGCTTTCAGGAAGGTTACATCAGAAGAGATACTGAAGATGATTGAAGAGAACAGGTATTCCCATTTGGGCAGCTGGGGAGTCTGGGGAGTGACACTGGGAAACAGGAGTCAGACCAACTGGGACCTTAGGGTGTCAATGAAGAGCTGATTGAACTGGTGTTTTCTTAACACTGGATTTTCAGGAACTGTGGGCAGGTTTAAGCAGTCTCTGGTTGTTTTTGCACTATGGTGCAGAGACAAATAGTTCTAAGAGTCTGCACATAAAACTTAACTGCATTTTCTGTCTGGCTTTTTATAGCCATCTGCAGTAAGCTACAGCCTTCTTGTTGTAGGAATTGTGTGAATATGGGGGAGGAAAGAAAGTTATCTGTTTTCACTGTGAGGGGGCAATTCCTGACAAAGCTTGTCTTAACCCTGACACGTTCCTTTCTTTCTCTTATTTCAGCCACTGCTCCTTTGTTATGGAAGCGTTGAAGTCTTTGCCATCAAATGAGGAGGGCAGAGATCGCCAGGCCCGGTGTATATGGTTTCTAGACACCCTCATCAAATTTCGGGCTCAGAAAGTGATAAAGCGGAAAAGTAAGCCTGTGATAGGCATTTTATTTTAGTTATTTCCAGTCTGTTATTTGTAATTCTAGCGCAGTTCTAACAAGAGGAGAAAACAGATACATCTGCCTAAATATGCAGCAGTGCAATTCCTTGTGGTGCTCCTTATAGCTGGCGGAATCACCAGCCTCTGCTGGGGAGTCCTTCGGCCTGTATGCACATGAAATGTGATGTGTTTTTCTCTGGACCTCTATTTCCTCTTCTGAAAATGGATATAGGCTGGATTCTGTGATTGCCGAGGGGCTTCCGGAGCTAATCAACACGCACCACTTCTATTTTGCCTTAGGCAATGTGCAATATCCAGATTTTTATTTTTTAAAAATAAAAGTAAAAAAAAATTAGAAACAATACCAAACAAAATAATAGGATTTCAACACCTGTTGTTATATTGCATATTGTCCTCTTCAGATTAGTTGTTCACATTACCAGATATAAGCATGCAAAATTGGTCAGAAAAATTAAAAAGAAGAAAAAACATTTAAGCATTAATAGAATGAAAATGTTAAGGGACTGTTAGAAGAAACATCAGTTATTCAGGAAGAAAAAATTGGCTTTATTTGTGAAGGCTCATGGCAGCTTTGTGTTGTGTCAGTTTCAGAAGACAGAGTCTATTTCTTATGGTAATCTCAGTGCCACTATATGTGGCAGTGACAATTCTCGAAGAACTGCAAACCCAACAGGAGATGTAAATTTTGTCATAAGCTATATTCACTCATTGTTACTGAGTGCCCAAGGGTCTGTATTCACGCTTGCAGTGTTTGCTTTTTTATTTTCGTATTCTTTGTTTTTATTTTCACATTCCAGTCTGCCTTTCTCCTTCTCTACCTTTGCTTTCCTCCTACCCCCCCCACCCCCCCACTAATGTCTTATTATCTTCCTCAGGCCTCATTGGAGTCTGTTCTGAGTCTTCTCCTGGCTCATCACAAACATTTCTTGCGCATGTCTGATCTGCATGCTGAAGCACACCTGAGCATCTTTTCATTTTAAAGTGGCTGTTCTGGATCTTGGGACCCTGCTTCTGTTACCACGTAGTGTTGATCATTACAGTGGCCCAGCTGTCAGGCTCTTCTAGCTCATGGATAAGGCATGGATTGAGGGTTTTTCCAGAAAATGACCAACACAAGTTTGTGTTATAGGTGCCTTGGGACCTGGAATCCCCCACATCATCAACACCAAACTGCTGAAGCACTTTACCTGCTTGAATTACAACAATGGCAGGTCAGGAGGGTAGATTTCTGGGTGGGGGGGGGTTGCCTATGAAGAAGAAAGGTGTGGGGTGGAAGGAGTAGTAGGGGATTGTGTTCAACTCCATGACTACAGCTACACAGTGCTAAAGAAATGGCTGCTATTTGGCAGGGTTATGGGTCAGCTAAATTGGAGATATGCTATGAATTTACATACTCTATACTTGGAAAAGTTCATTTTATCTTTTAGGAATATCAAAGGCTGTAGAATGCCTTGCAATAAAGACTTATTTCACTTTACACACTTACTTTGAGGAGCCCCTCCTAGTGTCCACAGAACTAGTATCCTGTGGAATGACAGTATCACAGAAAAGGGCAGGGCAGTGTTATGACTTTGTGGAAAGAACCCCACACAGCACCCTTAGGCTTTTTTTTTTTTCCTATGCTTTTTTACCTTTTACTTTCAATGTGTTTCCTACTCCTGAATACACTTGGAAGAAGCTGTAGCCACTGAGTTTGGGGTGACTTTTCCTGACTACGTGACTGAGAAGGCAGGGACAGACTAGGAGGGCCCTCACCAGTGCGGTGCTCCAGCTCCATGTGGGGAAAGTGTAGGCACGGTTTTCTTTATCCACTCAGGGAAATGTTAGGGTTGACTCCCTGCTCACTATATAAGGCTTGGGCACTTGGGAAGGAATAAAGAATGTTGCTCAAATTATTTTCCTTTTCCCCAAGTTGGGAGATGCTGATTGCAAAGGGTGGGTTTGTATGCTTTTATTTTGTTGTTAGAATTTATTTCTTAATTGCTAATTTTACAGTTTACGGAACTTTATTTCAAATTCCATGAAAGCAAAGATCACTGCATATGTGATCATTCTTGCCTTGCATATAAATGACTTCCAGATTGACCTGACAGTGTTACAGCGAGACTTGAAACTCAGTGAGAAAAGGTGAGCACAAAACAAAAAGCTTTCTTCAGGGTACTTGTATTTCTGCTACCACCAGAAAGCACGAGGCATCATTGAGGGGGGTGGGGACGTTTCATTCAGGAAAATCATGGGCCAGAAGACAATTTTTAGAGTCAGTGAATGGCTAGACACTCTTTGTTAGGCACCATACTAAATTTTTCCGTATCACCTCGTTAATTTCTTTAAAAGACAATGGAAGAAACTGAAGTCTAGAGCAGTAATGACTTTCCTAAGGTCTCATACTAAGAGGGAAATTCCTGGGCTTCAGAACCTAAGCCTTTCCATAGCATTTTGTTTCTGAATAACAGAGCAGCCTCTGTTCTCTGAATTGCTGCCTTTCCAGAGAGGAACTCTATGGTTCTTAGGGGTGAGCTCATCTGTATGGATATTTTCCTTCTGGGGGTAGTCTCTCATGCTTTTTTATTTTATTTTATATGAATGTTCCTTCCCCCCAGGGTCTGCACTGAGCAACAGCGTATGGATATTTTCTGATAACACTTAAATTATCTGTTAGTGTGTGTGTGTGTGTGTGTGTGTGTG